GTTAGATATTTTCCCCAGTTTTTACTCACTATCTCATTCATTTCTTCCATCAACTCTGAGGAATCTGAGAAGGAGTCTTTTCTGTCAAAGTTAATTAAATGCTGCCTTTGTTTGGATTCTTCAATGAGTTTATCCACTGAGTTATTCCCTTCCTCGTTATGTGTTTGGATAACGATGGAGTGACTAAAAGCATCTTGACCAAACAAGCTCAGGACCAAATTCAGAGTTTCTCTGTTCTTCTCTGTGAAATCAGAAGGTTTGACTAACAGCAGCAGCACGTTTGGTCCAGGAGGACAGAGACTCACACAGCTCTTCATCTCTTTAAACAGCTCATTCACAGGCAGACTGAAGATGTTGGGAGTTTTTACAACTGTGGGAGGTTTCCTGTTCCTCTCTCCAGAGGCAGCACCAGATTGCTTTCCTCCAAAACCTTTAGACTCTTTCTTCCCAACGAGGAGCTTTTCCAGGGCTGATTTCTTCTTCTCACTTTTTCCAAATAGCATTATCCTGAGTTCACGTGCTGCAATAAAAAAAGGTAAATTACCTCCAAAATTATGAAACACATATTTACGTCACATTCCATTACAGAATTTGCAATTGTTAATCAAATCACTTGAGAAATAATCATTCACAAATTTGTCTTTTTGTTTGTTTGTTTTTGGCACCTGGCCCATTTGGTTCTTTAGCCATCAGAATTGTTGTCTGAAGGCCAACAAAAATACCCAATGGATTTCTTTACCAAGTGGATCATCACAGCTTTGCCGTATTGGTCCATTTGATGGGCTTTTGTTAACATTACTATTTTTTATTTTATGTTATTTCTATTTGCAGTTGTTACAAACGGGACATACAAGCCTGGGAGTTAGGTATGGGAGAAAGAAAGTTAAAAGATAAGCAAAGGGGAAGAGGGACAGTGAGAAAAGGCACCTAAAAAGAAAAAGAAATCTCCTGGGTCACCTGTTGAGAGTAAAATGTGAGAAAACAAGCAAAAAAAGAGAGCAACATGATAAACGCAACACCATCGCATTAATCTAGTTAACAGTAAATAACAGTAAATACTAAATATAAATTTAGTATTTAGGACTGACAGTGCACAATGTGTTAGGTACACTGAGGTACATGAGGTAGCAGCCAAGAAAGGTGTGGTTTGTGTCTATGAACAGTGAACACCCTTCCATGTAGCAAAATTGGTATGGCCCGGATCTGGCCCACACCATGTGCCTGCACATGGCCCAAAAACCACAAAGAATGGTGGCCCTTTGGTGGCCCAGATCTGGTTTGCCAGAGGTGGCCCACACAAGGCCAGTTGCAGACACACTGCTGGCTCTGTGCTTGCCCAGAACAGTTTCAGCTCTGGCCCCAGATGTCAGCCTAATGTGTACCTTAATCAAGCCATGTAATAAATACATGTGCCGAAAAATAATAGTGCAAAAGTAACATGACGAACAGTCAATGGACTGATTCTTATGTAGCGTTTTTCTACTCTCTCAGATTACTAGAAGTGCTCTCAGACCACATTCACCCACACTGTCTCCAAGCTGAGTGCTTCCTAACTACATTCATACACATTCACACTCTTGGCATGTTAACTGCAGGAGCCATGGATCAAACCACGAACCTTCCAATCAAGAACCCACATAGTAAAATTGGTATGGTCCGGATCTGGCCTACACAATGTGCTTACACATGGCCCACATACCGCAAAGAATGTCGGCCCTTTGATGGCCCCGATCTGGTTTGCCAAAGGTGGCCCACACATGGGCCAGCACAAGGCCAGTTGCAGACGGACTGGTGGTCCTTTGATGGCCCATGTGTGGATTACCTCTGGCAAACCTGGTCTGGGCCACCAAAAGGCCGTCATTCTTTGCAGTATGTGGGCCATGTGTAAGTTGTGTGCAGCCAAAGGCCAGTTGCAGACACACTGCTGGCTCAGAAAAGTTTCAGCTCTGACCCCTGGGCCCTGTTTCAGGAAGCCGGTTTAGTGGAAAAACTGAGTAAGTA